TGTTACCTATTGGTGTAAAATCACTAATCGCTTTGTCGGTTATTACTTTTTGACTTAAGTGTGCTATATAGAGTAGCGTTTGACGCTTGTGTYTTCCGTTGAAACTTTAACATACGAGTTATGTGTTTTTCCATTATATAAATTTAAACGTTTTTTTATTAGTGTTGTGTATTATAATTTAATAGGTATTATATTAAAAACCTTGGTAGTTTTTTTTTTGAAAATCATTATTACCTTATTTTATTTGTACATTGTGTCGACGTTTACAGAAAAACTGCATTTGAGTGCCTGTTATTTTTAGTGTTTTAAGGGTAAGCAGAATATTATTTCAAATTTACTTTCCGTGAGTATATTAACCTAAACTACTAATTTGGTAAATGAATTAGTTTATTATTAGGTATTTATTTTATACTCAACATGTTATTAGTGGGTATTAATTGTCCATTTAGGTATAATCATTTTTGTATAATAAGTTACCACTTATAAACACTATTTTAAGCTTAGAGATTTGTTAATAATTTCAATGTTAACTCTTATTTTTTTTTTGTTGGTTATGTTCATACTTTTTTTGTTAATCTAATTATAAACAACTTCAAAACCCTCTTATGTATAATATTTTTAGTATTAATTCTTCTATTGTTGATTTTCATTTATTACTATATAAGTACTCTTCTTGAATATAATTTATTATTGAGTTTTTGTTACTTTACATTATATAAATATATCTACTTGTYTGTGGCGCAACTGGGGCTAAAATGTTAGGTAAGGGGTTGTAGCCCCTCCCTGATATTACCTGAAAAGTAACTCGCTAAGACGTGCTTGCACCCCTTATCTTATATATTCATTTGAAAATATACAAAATAAAAAACGATAGTTTTTTACTCAAGTTTCATTTTTATTTTTATTTATGATATTTTTAATATTTATCAACTTGGATCCCAATATATTTTTTTGCATGAGGTATTGACAAGTTTCTAAACTAATTTTATACAATTTTAGAGCATAAGTATGCGATTATCTTCATAGCTATAAACRTTCTGATGTTGCAAATATGATCAGCAAAGTAATAGCTATTTTTACTATTACATCTGTATAAATT